GCTGTTAAGCAGTTGGATCAGGAACCAGAGAGGCCATGCCTCCAATTATATAGTTGAGCCAGAGGTGGTTTGTGGGTGTGTCTCCCACATACCTAACTTTTGGCCGTTTATTTTCTTGTTAAACTTTGCCCTTAAGGTTTTGGGGTCTGGCCAAAGGCACAGCAGCAATTTGGGGGTATCTGAAAGCCTGACGGTGCCATCAGGCTGCTGATGCACTCGCCTCCCAGGTACAGATTGACCTGCTGGCGGCACCAGACCCCCACATTTTTTTAAAGTCACTTAATCACTTAACTTCCCGTTAGTCGTCGATTTGCTCGAGCGGGCGCCAGTAACGTCTCCATTTGTCCCTGTCGCGTGCTAGTGTAGCCCAATGGCATCTGTTCGCTCTGGGAACATGAAGGGCCTCAAACCGATCGTTCATGATCTTGACGAAGAAGTCTGACCATCTGGTAGGTGGGCGGCCACGCGGTCTTTTGACATCCCGTGGAATCCAGTCGGTAACAGCTCTAGTCCAGCGGTCGTCCTTAAATCTCATTACGTGACCAGCCCATCTGATTTTCGACACCTTGGCAAATGAGACAGCGTCCCTGATTCTTGATCGTCGACGGATGTCAGAACTCCGGATTCTTTCTCTCATTTGAGTGAAATGTGATATTCCAAGCATAGCTCTTTCTATTCTTTGGGAGACCTGAATAGCGTTCTCATCTTGTTTGCGTAGGGCCCAGGTCTCTGAGGCATATGTTAATGCAGGAAGAACAGTGGAATCAAAGAGATGTGCCTGGAGCCGGAGATTCTTTGTCCTCTTAGCTATTTCTTCGACGTTCTTGAAGGCGTTCCAAGCCGCTCTCTTCCTCCTGCGCAGCTCAGGTGCCAGGTCATTTGTCATGTTGACCTCTCGACCTAGGTACACATAGCTGTTGCATTCGGAGATGGTCGTTCCGTTGAGAGCGAATGGGGCGTCAGGAACGAGGCTGTTTCTCATAAACATTGTCTTCGTAAGATTCAGCTGTAGTCCTACATTTCCACACTCATGGTCAAAGTCGGCCAGCATTTGTGCCGCTTGGCTGATGTTTGGTGTTATTAAAACAATGTCATCAGCAAAGCGGAGGTGGTGTAGTTGCCGACCATCTATCTTCACTCCCATTCCTTCCCATTCCAGTCGTCGCATGATGTTCTCGAGGGTGGCACTGAAGAGTTTTGGTGAAATGGTATCACCCTGCCGCACCCCTCTCTTGACATCAACGATCACTTCTTTGTAGAATGGTGAGATCCTGGTAGTGAATCTGCAATACAGCTCACGGAGGATCCTGATGTATTGGGCTTGAATGCCCTGATTGGCTAGGGCTTCAATGACCGCTTCCGTCTCAACAGAATCAAAGGCCTTCTTTAAATCAATGAACGTTAAACAGAGCGGCATCTTGAACTCCCGAGAAACCTCAATGAGCTTGGTTATCGTATGGATATGGTTGATGGTGCTGAATCCTTTGCGGAACCCGGCTTGCTCGCATGGTTGTCCTTCATCTAGTGTTCTGCCAATCCTATTTAGGATGACTCGAGTGAACAACTTGTAGATGACAGACAATAGGCAGATCGGGCGATAGTTGCCGATGTCATGGATGTCTCCCTTCTTGAACAGTAGTACGGTCCTGCTGGTTTTCCATCGGGACAGAACCTTGCATTCAGACAGGTAGCGAGTGAAGAGCCGAGCCAGTGTATTGATGAGTACTGACGGCAGGTTCTTCAGGTGTTCAGGTCTGACCTTGTCTGGGCCGGGTGCTGTTTGTTTCTTTACCGACGAAATGGCGTGTCGGATTTCGGAAGGGAGAACGTTGGGAACGACATACCCATCCTGTGGAATTTGGTATGTCGGCAAGTGGACATGGCTATCGAAGAGATTTGAGTAGAAGTCATGGATAATCTTCTCCATTGCCGTTCTGGAGGATGTGATGGATCCATCAGGACGTCGGAGGGCAGTCATCTTGGTCTTGTAGTTGGCGAAGGACAGGCGGGCGTTATGAATACTTTTCCCGGCTTCTGTCGCATCTACCAGTACTTTTGCTCTTCTCTCTTTGAGGTCTTCCTTGATTGCATCTCTGCACTGCTTTGCGAGCTCGGACGTTAGCTGGCGGTTGCCTGAGGCATGTGCCAAACCACGCTGGCGAATTAGCTCAAGAGTTTTCGAAGATAGGCGATTTTTTGTGGCTATCTCTCTCTTGGCGTTCCTCGCACATTCATGGAGGTGCTGAACCAGTCGATCGTATTCCTCGTCAATGTTGTCAACAATGGCATCTTCCCATGTTGCCGCAATAGTACCAAAGAGTTCCCAGTTGGTGGTCATTCTGGGAGTTCTCTTTTTGAACTTTGCAGCCCTTTCTCCCCGCTCTGTGAAGTAGAATTTTGCACGAAGGAGATGGTGGTCCGATCCCGTTCGAAATTTTGGGACAACAGCGACATCAGTCAGGCAAAACCATCGATTGAATTTTTTTAAGGTAAACTTTTATTTTATTTTTGCTTTTTGGGTCACACCCGCAATGCACAGCGGTTACTCCTGGCTCTGCACTCAGGAATTACACCTGGCGGTGCTAAGGGGACCATATGGGATGTTGGGAATCGAACCCGGGTTGGCCACGTGCAAGGCAAACGCCCTACCCACTGTGCTATTGCTCTAGCCCGGTAGAGCACTTGTTTTTTCAGTGTGAGGCCCTGGGTTTGATTCCAAGCACTACGAAACAAAAACATCCCCCCCAAACCTACAACTAAACAAAAAATATTTTTAAAAAGTCCCGTGAAATTCACAGCTGTTGGCTATCAGACACTCCCCCCGAAGAGAATTAAGCCTAAAGAAAGTAGATTGGCCCCAACTCCGCACTGAGTATCTCTGTCAAAAATCCACAATGCTTTTGTGCAGGGTCACAAACAGGCTTGTGGGGGCCTCACTCCTTTGGCTGCAGTGAGTGCGTATCTACATGATGGGCTGCACTCTGCCCACAATGCCCACATATTCCAGTTGTGGGGTGCTCGCACAGCTGGCTGCGGTGAGGACAGGAACTAGGTGTGGCCCCACGGTTGAGAGAGCAGAATTGCCAGGACCACTCATATCGCAAAATAAAATGGCAAGTCTTTTTTTTTTCTTTTTCTTTTTGGGTCACACCTGGTGATACTTAGGGAATACTCCTGGCTCTGCACTCAGGTATCACTCCTGGCGGTGCTCGGGGGACCCTATGGGATGCTGGGAATCGAACCTGGGTTGGCCACGTGCAAGGCAAACGCCCTACCTGCTGTGCTATCGCTCCAGCACCAAAATGGCAAGTCTTACCCTTGACCATTTTCCAACTGACTCCTAAGGAACCACTCAGGGCTGGGAGGGGACACATTAGGGGTATTCATGTGCGCACCAACCAGTCTTCCTTTCTGGCTGCCCAATGAAAACCAGCACCTCACGTCCTGACACCAAGGGTCAGTGTGGATGGCAGCTGAGTCCTGTCTGAGCACAAATCAAAGCTGCTCCTGAAGAAACGGTGCTCAGCCGGGGCACAGGTACACCCCGCCCCACCCCACCCCACCACCTTTCCCAGTGACCAAGATCCAGTCCTCCTTCAGAGACACAGGAAGATGGGCTGGCTGTATGTTCCTAATGGACACACCAACATTTGTTGGGCTCACTCTTCCTTCTGGAAGAAGCTGGTGCTGAAGAAGGTCACTTCTGTCGTCTCCTGTTCATCTCTCTCCTTGCCGTTACTTCTCAGGAGAGAAGCACTGCACCTTTGGAATCAGCTCTGCGGGTGATCTGAAGTCAGCTCTGCTCTAACAGGGCGGGGTGGGGGGGGGGGGGCGGGACCTGCCTCCACCAGGGAGAGCAGTGCAGAGATGGAAGCAATGTTTTGGCTTGTGGGTCACCCAGTCGTGATGGGCACAGGGAGAGGATGCGCACGGCTCAGTGCTCAGAGGATCGTGTGATGCTGGGGATCAAACCTGGGCCTTCAGCATACGAAGCATGTGCTCAGCCCTCAATAGTCCCTGCTCCCTTCTCCCCACAGCGCCCCTCCTTCCAAAAGAGTTTCAGTTGTTAAAAAAAACAGTGTTGGCTAGGCTCATGGTCCTCACTGGGGAACAATTCCAGGCCGAAGAGAATTAAGTCTAAAGAAAGTAGATTGGCCCCAACTCCGCGCTGAGTATCTCTGTCAATAAGACATGGAATGATTTCGGCCTAAAGGCTACACATCCCAAGTACAGCCGCCAAGTTAGTGAAGCCAAAGGGCAAGACGGGCAGGAATGGAAGCAGGACTGCTCGGCCGCAAAGCATCGTCCTTCAAAGAACTTTCTTCTCTGCATGAGGGAACTGGGGTTTGGCATTCCAGAGCAGTTTCTTAACCACGCTGCTGCTTCAGACATTGTCTTATATGAGGGCGTCTGCTGCCTGAGTGAAAATGCAATGGAAGATTTAAAGAACAAACACAGACCAAAGGAATGCTGCTTGTTTGTTTTGCACTTGGGTCACACCTTTAAAGAACCTTGTAGGGGCTGGAGAAATAGTACAGTGAGTAGGGCGTTTGCCTTGCACGCTGCCGACCTGGGTTCGATTCTCAGCATCCCATATGGTCCCCCGAGCACCGCCAGGAATGATTCCTGAGTGCAAAGCCAGGAGTAACCCCTGTGCATCGCCGGGTGTGACCACCCCCCGAAAAAAAAAGCAAAAAAAGAAATACCCTGGAGAAGAGGGGGGCAGAGTGGCACAGTGGGGAGGGTGCGTGCCTAGCACATGGCCAACCTGGATTCGATCCTCAGCATCCCATATGGTGCCCGAGCATCACCAGGGACGATTTCTGAACACAGAGCCAGGAGTAACCCTGAGCGATACTGGGTGTCCCTCCACCCCCGAGAAAAGGAAAGAATACACCAGGGGGCCCTGGCAAAACCAACAACCCCACACCCAAAAAGAGAAAAAGGAAAAGAAAAAACAGGGCAAAAAAGAACAAAAGAAAAAAAAAACACTGGATTTCTTTTAAAAGTTTTTATTGCGCATAAAATGACCCATTCCCCTTTGAAGGTCAGTTGTTACCGCCTTTAAAAAATTTCTCTTTAAAACTTTCTTCTTCCTGCCCCGCTGAGAAACTGTTTTGTTTGGGAAGGACAAAGAGTAGTCTATCACTGCTGATTAAATTAGCTGAAGAATGACTCCTGGGAGCAAAGGCCCCAAAATACCATCTGAGCAGGACTGGAACCCCACGTGGCCGCGGCCACCCCACCTCAGACTGCGCCTGGTGACCCTCGTTCCCTGCACGGTGCAGCCTTGCAACTGCACCCACGCAAACGCAGGCATTTCAGAGCTCTCTCTGGCTCCCTCGTTTCGAGGGACCTCAACTCTTGCGGAGAACGTCTGCCTGCACACGGAGCTGCGTGCACTTCTACATTTGGAGAACATTTCCTGAAGCACTCGAACTGCAAGTGAGTGGTCATGAAATGGGAGTTGAAATAGAAAGTGCTTCACTGGACCTGATGTCCGTGCAGTCGGGACGGAAAGCTCTGGAACATTTTGCAGGTCTGTGAATATCTGGAGCTTCTCTCTCGTCTTCTTCAGCCCCTCTGTCAGTAGCTGCAAGCTGCAGTGTGTGCTTGGGAGGACACGAAGGTGTCAGAAGGCCGCAGCCGGGACAGTCGGTCACATCTACAGCCCCACTACGTCACCTACAGCAGAGCACTGTGGCTTCGCTCTTCTGGGACTTGCAAGGGACAGAGACAGTTCTCCACGGCTTGGCCAGTGCCAGAACAGCTCTGAGGGGACAGGGTTAAGGAAAGGACCGCCCAGGAGAAAAAGATCTGGTCCTGCTCCAATTTTATCGGAAGGTTGGGGGGAAGAGATGGGATCGAAAATCCCCTCCTCACCCCCTCTTTAAGAGAATAGAAAAATGGAGACTCTGCCTCAGCAGAGAAGTCAGAGCTCCACGATGGTGGCGAGCAGCACGTCTGGATCCCGCAGGAGACACGGCAGCTTTGGACACAGTGACGAGTAAGACAGGCTCTTTCCTCCTGTGTGGTCAGAATGCACGTTCATCTCGAGGCACAATGTGGTTCCCTATGGAAGTTCCCAGGTCAATCCATCTTTTCCTTGAAGAGTTCCCAGGCCAGCTCTCTCTCCTCTGCCACTCCCCACACAACGGGCTGGAAGGAGCGCCAAGCTTGGCCGGGCACTGACGGACTTCTCCGCAGACTGATCACGCATTCTGAGTGGACAAGCCTGGCCCTTCCTCGCTCGGGATTTTCTCTGACAGTGGCTCTGACTATAGACAGCCAGGCTTTGGCTACATCATGAGAAGTGAACAGTTTGGCTCAAGGAGCTAGTGACACGGTGCTGATCACCCCGTCTTCCCATGAAGATCTGGGGACAGAGAAGTCTCCTCACTTGGGAGAGGAGGGCTGGAGGTGCTCACCTTTGAGACTAGCCTGGATCCCAACACCCGCTGTAGCATGGCCTTCTTACTCGGTGGGATCCACGGCTGGCTCGAGGGCGACCTCAGCAGCCACACAGGTAACAAGACTCCACTGCGCTTTATCCCAGCCGGCCTGTCACAGCTCCTTTAATAAACGTCATGGGTCATGGGAGGTGAAACCCTGGCACTGAAACTGAAGGGGAAAAGTAAAATGGGGTCCTACAGAGCTGGATGCCAACAGGGAGAGGCCAGCAGCCTCCCCCAGAGCTGCAGTTCATCCTGGACAAATGGGCGGTGCAGGCGGGTTTGGTGGCAGAGTGGACTGTGGGTGGAGGAGAGTGGGACAAGAGCACAGGAGGGCACAGAAGAGCATGCGAGGGACCAATGGGCCCTCGGCTGCTCCGATGCCCGCGGGGTCAGTAACACGACGAAGAAGGCTAATAAATAGGTGATGTAACACGTGTCTGTGGGGATGCTGGGTGGGACTGGCAGACCCTCTGCTGCTTCTATACAGGTGCTGGGTGATCAGTGTCTCTAGTAAAGATAGAAAAATGAAGTTGCTTCTGTTCAAGTATTAAAAAAATAAGTTAAGTTGACAATAAGGGTACAAAGTGGCTGAACATCTCACCAGGTTGTCAGCTTCATTTCAATGTGCAAACATAGGAAAAATGCCAAGGATAAGGCTGATCTCCTGAGCTGATGTGACGCGCCAAACAGTGACAGTGCCCCCGTCAACCGGGGCTTGAAATTCGGAGCCTCAGCCTTGTCCCCCAAAGTCAGTCTTTTCCAGTGTCAAAATGGTTGTGAATTAAAAGCAAAACGCAGCAATCCACAGGCCTCAGGCCGGGGCGGAGAGGCCTGTGCATTTGGCCTCCTGGGGCCCAGTGTGTGTGGGGGAGCAGCCCCTCCTGGGTCTCCCCACTTGCGTGAGTTCTGCACGCAGCTTCCCCGGCGAGATAAGGCAGGGCAGCGCTGCCCTCACCAGCCCAGGCGAGTCTCCGGGGCTGGACTCTCATCTTGCTTTCAGGCCCTGTTTGCATTTCTTTGGTGGCGCTTTAGGGAGCACGAAAGAGCCTGCAGCTCCCACGCTCTCATTGTGCCAGGTGATGTGTGGGCAGAGGGCATGTTCCTTTCACATCCGAGTCAAGCGCTCACGTTCCCCATCCTGGGGCGGGAGGGCACGACGGGTCTCTCCAGGGAGGTCACGCATCTCGACGGTCGCCTTCCCCAGGGGCCTCCGCGGCAGCGACGTGGCGTGCTCACGTCCACGAGGGGCACATGGACACACAAGCTCCCAGGAGGCACTGGGCCTGCTCGGGGTACAGGCCAAGGGGCTGGGACAACCCAGCCAGGCCGGGTGGCGGCGACGGCAGCCAGTCCGTGCGGGGGACGGGAGCTCAGGACCAGTTCAGGCTGAAGCCCTTGGTCAGCATGACGGCCTCCAGGTCCTTGTCCTCCTCCTTTTCCCGGAGCCGCTGCTCCTCCAGCAGGGCCACCAGAGCGTCTCTCTGCTCCACCACTTCCAGCATCTCGTTTAGGATCTTCTTCTCCTCTGATAACTCCTCCTCCGTCTTCAAGTGATCTGTGCAGGAACCAAAGGCGTCAGGTCTGCAGAGCCAGGAGCAGCGGGCCTGCCAGCTCCCGGCCTGCGCTCACCCCGGTCCTCACCTTCCACCGCCATCCGCTCCCGCAGCTCCTGCTGCAGGCGGCTCTGCCGGTCTTCCAGCTCCAACTCCCGGGCGCTGGGGCGGGAGAAAACCAAGGCACAGTGAGGGGGAAAACAACTATCTTCCCCCCCCCCCCAAGTTAAGAAGGAACTCCTGCAGGGACAATGGGTCCCAACCCCAGGCCACTTACAAGATCATCAGCTCCGACTCATAGCGCACCATGGCGTTTTTCTCTTGCACCAGCTTGAACCACTCCTGCATCAGCTTGGGGTCATCCTTCTTACCCATGCCTGCCAAGAGAACGCTTGCGTCAGGCTGCAGAAGTGTCTGCTACCTCCCCCGGCCGGCAGGAATCATCACACTGGGGCAAATGTGCAAAGAGCCGAGCAAGATGCTGCCGGAACACTCCCAAGCCAGGTCCCAGTTTGCCTGCAGCCAGTGGAGGGGCGGGGGGTGGCGCTGTCGCTGTCCTTCCCCAAGAAGCCTGCACTTGCCTCCCTTCGTCCTGCCCCTGGGCCCCCATCCACTGGGGAACACGGTCACAGCTGGTCGGGCCCTCCCTGCTCAACGCTTTTTTCTTCTTTTTGATGTCAAGGATCAAACCGAAGACCTCACACACGCAAGGCCAGTGCTCGATCACTGAGCTACATCCCTGACCCTTCTTTGGTATGTTTTAAGTTTTTTGTGCACTATTTCCCATCTTTCCGCCCCCCCTACCCACAATTCATTTCATATCTGATACTAGGATTTTGCTGAAGAAATGACTCTAACTGAACAAGGCCACTGTGGATTCCTAAAGGCTCTGCCCTCCTTGTAGTTCCACTCACTAGCCCAAACCCCTTCCCTGGGCCCCTGCCCCTCTAGGCAAGCGGCATACTGGGCTCACTTCTTTGTACCCTAACCAGGAAAGTATCTTTTCTCAACCTCTGCTCTGTCTGGCTTCATGACAAATTCCTTCCCCAATGTTGGCCGAACCAACAGATCCCAAAACAAGAGTCAGGTTGTCACCAGCGGCAGACAAACGCCAGCAAACCCCTGACACTTGCTGTTCTGACCCAATCCTGATAGCAGGGGGTCCTGGGCTGTCTCGCATCGACCCATGACTTGTGCCCACATCCTGACTCTCTGGGCTTCACTGCACAGATAGATGGAAGAATTCAAACCACCCAAGAGAAGACAACTTCTCTTGGACCACAAAAAGGTTTTGCCAAAGCTTTTGGAAAAGGCCATAGACTCGGTACTTCAATATGTTTTGATCACTAACCATTTTGGGAATCTCAGGAAAGCTATGACCTCCCCTAGAAAAGCGCACAGGTCAGGTGAACACTGCCAACCACTTTACACAGAACTTCAGGGTGTTCCTGGGCTCCCTGCAGTCCAGCCCCAAATTAAGAGGCCCTGGTGTAAGACCCTTCGGAGCCCTTCTATCTTATGAGTCGCTGAGCTGGCTGCTCCATCCCAGTCAAGACCAAGCCCAGCAGTGTGAGGCCACTTTCAACGGAGGCTCCTGACTCACTGTCTGCCTACTTTCTTCTCACCCGATTTCCTTGTACATGGTCAGACAAAGCTTTCCGCACTGGAATTTGCTTGACACAAAGCAAACAAAGCCCGAAGCCAGTTAGTGTCTCAACCGGAGCCACACTCGGCAGAGCAGAGGTGATCTGTGCTCACACAAGCAGGGGGTTAGTCTGCGACGTGCCCTCATGCCCAGGCAGAGAGGCCTGGGTGTGCCTCTGGGTCCTAGCCTGCAGGACGGAAACTCCCTCCTACCCAGCTGAGCCTGCTACAGGGAGCACATGCCCAGAGTGTTCGGGGACCGGGGCTCTCCTCTCCCAACCCAATGGACTTGGTTCTTTGGCTTTTAAAGCAGCCTAATGCTCAGTTCCATGCATTCCTTTCTGAGCGTCTCTGCACAGTGTGCCCACATGGCCATGGAGGATGGAGCCCTGAGGCATGCAAGCTGTCCGGCGCCGCACGTGATGAGCGCACCGCGACGTCTCCCCTCCTTCCCACCTCCCCGGGTGCAAGGACAAAAGATCCCACTAGGAGACATTCAAACAGTGCTCATGAGCCATGGAAGAGACCGTTCACAGCCAATGAGCAAAGGTATATGGAGGGCGGGGGTGAGAGTCAAACGTGAGAGCCATGGAGAAGAGTTGAGGTTAGCAAGGGTTAGTCATGACCACACTCCTGCCCCGTCCCACATGCCTTTTCAATGACAATTTTATCACAAGATTTCAAATCAGACAAAATTTAAAATAACACACACACACACACACACACTCAGCAAGACACAGGGCAGAGAAGTTTGCTTTCAGTGGTTGTTTGGGAAAAGAGCTTGGGGCGTTTGTGTAGACCAGTTTTTGTAAGGACAGTATTCCTTGACTCCACCAGTACAAAAGCTGCCTGTGGCCCTGGCCCCTCTAGCTGCCGGACGGGAGAATGAAAGGACTGCAGGGGCGGCAGTACCGCAGCCAGAAAGGCAGGCTGTGACTGCAGGCTGTCTGGCTCCCCCATGTCCCAGCCCTCCGAGTCACAGGGATACTGTACCTTGTGGGAACTGCCACAGACTCAGGGAATTTTGCAGCAGGGCTATGAGACAGAGAGAGAAAGAGAGAGAGGAGAGAGAGAGAGAAGAGGGGAGGGGAGAGAAGAGCAGAGAGAGAGGGACAGAGAAGAGAGGGATAAGAGAGGAGAGTGAGAAAAAGAGAGAGGGGGAGAGAGAAAAGAGAGAAGGAGAGCGAGACAGAGAGAGAACAGTTGGGCTTTGAGTCCCTTTTTGAGCACTGTTGCTTTGACCCTGAAAGGCAGTGGGATGAGGGAGGGGAGTTACATTACCTTCCTGGACACAGCAAGGGCAGAAGGAGAGAGGTCTACGCCGCGGAGTCCCGCCACTGGGCTCAACTTCAAAAAGGACCAAACAAGAAAGAGGAGGAGACGGAGAAAGACAAAAAGGAAGAGGAAAAAGAGGAGGAAATTGGAAGTGGAGAGGGACAAGGAGAAGGTGAAGTAAAAAACAAGCAGAGGACAAAAGGCATAAAAAGTGAGAAAGGAAAAAACAGGAGGAAAAGAAAAAAATACAAGAAATGGAAAAGCAGAAACAAGGGAAACAGTCTACAAATGAATTAAGTCCTTTTTCCAGCAGGGAAACTGAACAATAGCAGGCCTGGCGTCAGGGCAGGTCTGAGGGGCTGGAAAGGCCGGGACCAGTGCACACGGGGTGGGGGCGTCTCTTCTCCCCCAGCCCTTACCAGGAGGGCAGTGACTGTGGAATCACCCCCCCAGTGGTCTTCTGGGTTTTAAGCTCCCCCTCAGAAAGTCTATGCCTGGGGCCAGAGAGACAGGGGTCAGGTACTGGCCTGAGGTACGGCCGACCCTGGTTCGAATCCCCAGCACCACATCTGGTCTCCTGAGCACTGCTAGGAGTCACTCCTACCCCTGAGAACCACCAGATGAGGCCCTCAAACCCAGCAGCCCTTCTCTGCCTCCCCCCACAAAGCTTATGTCTGTGGAAGATAATTAAATACGGAGCCCAGATTGCTTCCAGATTTGCAAGTGTAAATGCAGGGCCGAGAAGCAAACCCATGAGGAATATTCTCAGACATAAATCACCATAAACCGGGGCCTGCTCCTCTCTGGACCCTCTGACCTTTAATTTTTTACAAGTCTCACTATGGAGACGTTTACTGGTGCCCGCTCGAGTAAATCGAGGAACAATGGGAGGACAGTGCTACAGTACACCATAAACACATATGCTGGAAGGAAGACTAATCTTGAGAGGAGGAGGGAATGGTGAAACCCCAGGTGGTCAGGCTCACAGCAAGGGGGCTGCATCTAACCTGGGCTTCCTGGCCTTTGACCTGGGCACTGCCTTCCACTGTGAGCCAGGGCTTGTTTGGGGAAATGTATCCCCACACGCATGCTACTGCATTGGTATACCGTTACCCCATTTGCCAGAGAGTCACCCACTTTCCTCTGGCTCCTTCATACCCAGAGCACCATTCGATGCCACCGCTGGGGAAAGGCTGTCCCTCTTTGGACCGTAAGACCAAAACGGGGTGAGCTGACAGGACGTGCCAAAAACTTGCAGTAACAATGGTGATTAGAGCTGAGGAAGACATCGCATGGACAGACATCTCTCGGACTGAGGGACACCTGACGGGGACTCAAGGAAGAGGGAGAGGAGCTCAGCAAGGGACCATCACAGAACCACAGGACACACACGGGGGACAGGGCCAGGGAAACTGCCTTGGCACTGGAGGGGGGGTGGGCGTGGGGCTAGGGACGCTGAGTTTAACGGGGCCCACAAAACAGCCCAGTTGGAATCAACAGGAAGGCCAAACAGACAAGCTGTTCACTGAGAAGGCCCTTTCCTTGGCGATGGAATGAATGCAGTGCCCCGTTTTCTCTTTTAAGCCCGTCAATCAATGATTTCTCTAGAGTGCTTTGGCCTGTGAATCTGAGAGTGATTCAAACTCAGAACTCAAGTCAGAGCTGAGGAGTATCAGTGTGGAGCGCTGCCAGTGGGCAGCAGCTGCATCCCCGCGGGGGAGAACACGGGAGCCCACGGGAGAATGGCTCCTTCCTCCCCCCAAGCCAGTCTGTGCCGCAGGGCTCTACATGAACGTTCTGGTTTTCAAAGCTCCTAGAGTCTACGTTGGGTTCCAGGATTCAAGAGAAATCCCACAGAGTGCAATGCCAACAAGCACCGTCACCCTGCTGGGACTAGCTCCGTGCACTAAAGGTGCACTCTCGCTGGGTGCTTGCTAGCAGAAGAGTGGCAGAAAGTGCAACCAGCACAACCCCAAGAGAGAAGCATGGACCTGCATGGGGTCTGATGTGTGTCCACTTTCAGGACAGCACGGAACATAGCTTTCAATTCCTTTTATGGAGTTTATGTCGCCCATGTCCTCATACATTCTTTCTCTGAGAGAAACAATGCAGCAGCACAAATTCACAACAGAGATTAGGAAACGCTGTGAACAAACCCAGTTAGAAAGGAACGGGGAGAGCCCTCCCGGCATGGCTCTCCGTGCGGCATGGTTACCACTTTCTCTCCTTTTTTCCTTTTCGGCTGCTGCCAGATTCTCCCCAGGTCTTATGCAGGGCAAGCGCAAGTACTGAGCTGTATCTCTGGCCATTTAGGCTTTTGGAACTTTCCTGTGTGCTCCGAAATACCTGTAATGTATTACTTTTGTAATGAGAAAAAATACCCATAATCTATTACTTTTGTAATTAGAAAAAAATACCCATAAATGTTATTTTGAAAGAAGAAACCAGTGTGTGTGTG